TTTACAATGGCCGGCCGGGGAATTCTGGGAGTTGAAATCCACAGGCAAGTTCTTTTTTAATTATTATTTATAGAAAAGAGTGAAAATTTCAATGACTACTGTTGTGGTTGCCAGCAGAGTTGGACGGTGGGGAGGGCCAGTCCGGGAGTCTGGGGAGGGCTCGGATGAGGGTCCTGCATCCAATGCAGAGATGGGGCCAGGATGGGAGCGGGGTGCCGACTCCAGAGCCTCCAGAATCTGACAGCAGCAGGGCAGAGGAACAGCGGGAGCCTGTTCCCAGTGCACGCATGCACAGAGCTGCCAGAAGGTAAGAACAGTTAAGACAAAAAGGGTGACTCGGGAATAAGGCTGGGAGATGATTGGCCCTTCCCATAAAACATAAAGGAGGAACAAAGGGATAGGAGCCTTTGCAGGAAGCAACTTTGTTCACTCTGTCCAGATTAAACCTTGAAGCTGTGTGAACTTTGTACTTCGGTTGGCTTTTTACAGTTAATTTGGCACTTTAGTTGTTGGCAGCAATTCAAAGGAGAGAAAGGTGGGTGCTTATCTCGAGGGACCGTTTGGGACTCATTACGGGCTGGGAATGCACATAATTCCCAGCCGTTGAAATCAAAAGAGGGTTGTTTGAACTAAGCGTGTGCTTATTTACGGTCTCAGGAAGCCTTGGTCAGAACAGCTACTCTATATAAACCATTGTGTTGTCTGAGTAGTTATTCAGTATTGAACAATCATCTCCATCATCGTAACAATAACATTCGTAACATTAGTAGTCATCATATAACCACCATAACATCTCACCGTAACATTGACAATAAACATCTAGTGATAACATGCTTACTTATCCATTTAGTAAACCATTTTTACAAAATTAAGTCACTTTCTTGTATTTATTTATTTTTAAAATCTAACTTCTCTTTCTGCTCAATATTCCATGCGCATCTTCAAGCAACCAAGGTTGGAAAAAAAAACAGGCTGGACCACTCTATCCCAGGGGTCTCCAACTATTGTGGTCCGTCGGCGGACTGTGGAGATGGCAGTAGATGGTCAGTGGGGAGGAACAGGGGCCAGTCCTGGAGTCTGGGGAAGGCTCGGACGTGGGATCTGCATCCGACACAGAGATGGGGCCAAGGTCATCTGAGAGTTATGTGCCGACTCCGGAGCCTCCAGAATCTGACAGCAGCGAGGCAGAGGAACAGCGGGAGCCTGTTCCCAGTGCGTGCATGCACAGAGCTGCCAGAAGGCAAGAACAGTTAAGACAAACGGGACAACTCGGGAGTACAGCTTGGAGGTGATTGCCACCCCAAAAAGACATAAAGGAGGAGCTAAGGGACAGGAGCCTTTGCAGGAAGCAACTTTGTTCGTACTGGTCGGTTTCACCCTGAAGCTCCGTGTTGAATTTGTGTTCCGTTTTGGCCTCGTATAACTAATTGGACATTTAGTCGTTGGGCAGCATATCAAGGAAGATAAAGGTGGGTGCTTATCAGCCTTATCCTGAAGGACTTTGGCAGACTTCCATGGGACTATTTAGAAACTGTTTCAGACTCATTATGGGCTGTGAAGGAGCAAAATTCACAGCTGTTGAAATAAAGAAAAAAAGGGTTTTGGGACTAACGTGTGTGTTTATTAGGGTCTTCACAAGCCTTGGTCAGAACACCAACTTTGGTCACTCGTGGACTTCAATTCCCAGAATTCCTCAGCTAGCATGGCTGGCGGGTGAGGGGGGGGAAATTCTGGGAGTTTTGAAGTCCACAAGTCTTAAAGCGGCCAAGGTTGGAGACCCCTGCTCTATCCCCCAACGGAGATACGGACAAAAAATCAGGTTGCTGGTCCTCGTTGTTTAAGGTCTGGCAAAGGAGACGGATCCCCGGGTCCAGCTCATCTCCAAGATTCAGAAGGTCCAGGGAGGTTCTGGAACTGGAGGTGAGGGCAGCCCCCCCCCCTCCTATTGCAAGTCGGGGAGAGAAGAGCCCAGGTAAGTCCTCAGGTCGCTGAGGTTCGACCGGATGATCTTTGCTGGGATGGTTTCCTTGTTCAAGCGCTTGTAGGCCGCGTAACGGTGGCAACCTCCGAAGGAGTAGAAGTAATCCCCGCCTTCTCGGCCTTTGATCCAGAGCACGTCAATGGGGGGAACCCGGTCAGGCTCCTCCTGAAAACAAGAAAAAAGAAAGAAAGAAAGGAGGGAAGGAGATAAGGAGGGAGAAGATTAGCCCGAACGAGGGAATCACAGGATGGAAGAAATCCCCTTCTTCTCCACTGGCAGGTCTTATTTATTTTTATTTATTTATTTACTTTATGTGTCAATCGCTTAAGACATAATAGGTCTGAGTGTAAACATGAGTAAGAGTACGGGAAATAGGTACGAATAAATGGGGACAATAGGACAGGGACGGTAGGAACGATGGTGCACTTATGCGCGCTCCTCACAGACCTCTTAGGAAAGGGTATTCTCTCCTTTCCTTCCTTCCTCCTGCTCCCTCCTTTCTTTTCTCTCCTCCCTCCA